TAAATCACTATTAAACCAAGCTGTTTCAATGGCCATTGGGAGCTAAATTGGAGGTGCCTACCATATACGAAGCCTAAATTTCAGGACTGAACTTCAGGAGATATGCCCCGCAATTTCTATGGCTTTATATGGTGCAGTACCCCCCGTTGTTGGGTCCTGAAATTCCCATTCATTATGGCTTATTAATGGCTATAACTTTGGGTACAGCTATGGTTATAAGTGGTTTATAAGCCTCTCCATAGGATTGACCAATGGTATCCTCATAAAATCATTAAATAATCATGTATCCTCAGCTATTGATATCATTGATAATAGGTATACTGGTTGGTGGTTTGGAACATTTGGTTTATTTTTCCATTCAGTTGGGAATAATAATCCCAACTGACTTTCATATTTTTCAGAGGGGTAGGTATATCACCAACCAGTATAGCTATATATTACCAATGATCCAGGCACCAATCAATAAGTTGGTTAGAAAAATCGCCATCTCCCGGTGAAAAATGTCAGTATAATTAACAAGAATTCATGGTTCAATCCCATGGAAATCACCTTAGAAATCACCATGAAATCTATTGATATCATTGACAATAGATATGTATATGTGTATATATATATATGTATGTATGTATGTATGTATGTATGTATGTATGTATGTATGTATGTATGTATGTATGTATGTATGTATGTATGTATGTATGTATGTATGTATGTATGTATGTATGTATGTATGTATGTATGTATGTATGTATGTATGTTGTATGTATGTTGTATGTATGTATGTATGTATGTATGTATGTATGTATGTATGTATGTATGTATGTATGTATGTATGTATGTATGTATGTATGTATGTATGTATGTATGTATGTATGTATGTATGTATGTATGTATGTATGTATGTATGTATATATGAGCTCATATATACATAAATCCACCTATATATATATTACCAGTCAATGATCTAGGAATTACCAGCCCTGAGGTTCTCACCTCATCACCGAGCCGCTCTCCTGCAGCGCTGCCGTGGGCGGCTTGGGCATCGACGACTTCGCGGACTTCACGCAGCAAGGCGGTGAGATTTTTGTCGAAAGGAAATGACGGAAGTTTCAGGACCCAAAATCCAAGAAACGTTGCCTTTAAAGATCAAACATGTGAGGATATGTTGCACAGTTGAAGTGGAATTGAATGGCATGGGACTGAGCCATAGATTATAGGGGTTCTTATGGCGTTTTAGCTAGCAAGACTTGATATTGTTTCTTGACCTCTGGGGTTTAAGCACCAAAAATGATGAGTCAACCAAGAAAAATGCTTTACAATAGTTTAGCCCTGGTTGACGAGTTATTTGAAGGTGACTTAACAATCCCTTAAAGGGCTTTAACGATCCCTTAACCGTCAGAAATGATACAATTGATGGTGGCTGCTTGATGGTGTTGATAGGATATGAAATAGTGGGATTCAACCAGCATTTTGATGGGTTTTTGTTGATGCTTAATGGTTGAGTTGTTGTTTGAGGGGGATCAAGCCTGCTCAAACCTAAGGGTGAAAAAAACTGGAAATATGTTTTTTTTTAGTGCGATATAATTAGTTGACTAATGATGGTGGGTTATCATAGGGTTTTTTCTACGTGGTTGATCGGAGATTATCAATGTAATTGGATACCTTTTACATAGCCAATGTAATTGGATGGGGCAAACCATTGATTTGGGTCATCCTTAGTACCCAATTTTGATCCATAAGTGTCGAAATTGGTGAATCTTTACAATACCACAATGGTATTGGCTGTGTCGAAGTTTAACGGGGATACTCAATGGTAAGTTTCAAGTTGAACGGGGGTGATAGGTTTTAACGGGATTCCTTCTGGGCTTCCTTGTTTTTTGCAGACAAGCTCAGTATGACGGTATACCTCCAAAAGGTGATGTCTGGGCCTCAAGCAGGTGTTGATCAAGCGCTTGGAGGCGTCGTTCCACAAATAAGTGCTCAAAATATCACCTAGTTGGGGTCAGATCCCAACTTTGATGGTTATCACAATAGCTTTTACTCAGTAATAACCACAACTGCTACTTCATTTTGTCCAAGATACCCTGAGCAATGGAGGGATTCTAGTCAGGATGGTGAACGACTCTGAAAACCTACTGAAGCATGATACAATATCTGGACAGTTGTTGCATGGTGAAGGGATAAAGATGGACAACGCAGTGTTCATGGACAACGCAGTGTTCATGATTATTTTGGGATATCCATCCAAAATGTGCAGTATGAAGATCTTGCTTCCCTATTTGGTTTCATTTTCTTCAGAGATTGTAAGCTAGCAACATCACATGACGGCGGAAAGTACAACGGCTCGGAAGTGGGGGCCCAATCCTTTGTAACATCGTCCCAGCAAAGGTTCAGGGGTGCAAGCCCAGTAGATCAATCCGGTGACCAAACGCTTACTGGTGAAGACTTAGTTGGTGAATGTGCTCCTCGTTGCTAGAGAAATCATGATGATATCCCACCACAAACCAAATTTTGGAAGAGGCAACTCAGAAGTTATTCCAAAGTATTCAAGTGCTTTTTGAGCTGTGCGACGGGATTGCACTCAAGACTCAAAATTGGCCAGTCTTTCCCCCCATGTGAATTGCCTTTGGCTGCCGTTTCTTCACAAAGAGAACCAAGGCCTGGTGGCAAATGATGCTGCGTAAAACTGCGCACCGACGTCTAGTGCAAACGCTCCTGCCTGTACAGCCTTGTCAACAGAGTAAGTATTGCAAGTTAATCTCGTGCACTGATAATGTAATATAACTTACAGTAACACATTGTACTTGCATGTGCACACGGGTGCGCCTGCATGTACGCATGCATGGGTGGAGATGTTTGTTTGCATGTATGCATGTATGTAGGTACGTGCGCAAATATGCACATCAAGTGGAGTGTGGAATATGGAGCGGGGAGTGTGTAGTGCGGAGTGGCGGAGGGTGTGGAGTGGAAAGTGTGGAGTGCGGAGTGGAGACTGGAGACTAGAGACTGGAGACTGTGGAGTGGGGACTGAGTGGGGACTGAGTGAGGGCTGTGGAGTGGAGAGTTTGGAGAGTGTGGAGTGTAGAGCATGGAGTGTTCAGGTGTGAGTGGAGAGTGCAGAATGTGGAGTGCGGGGTGTAGACTGTGAAGTGAAGACTGTGAGTGTAAAGCGTACACTGTGAAGTTTGAAGCGGAGAGTGTGGAGTCTGAAGTGTGAAGTGTAGAGCGTGGAGTGCGGAGTGAAGCCTGGGACATGTAGAGTGTGTGACATGGTTGTCCTTTGAGGTCTACATGTGCATGCATTCATTCAAATACTGCATTTGGATTCGTGGGTTCTATCAGGCTTTTTTGGCGAATCTCCACTATCTTGTCGCCACGTCAGGTGCAAACCCAAAGCACCCGTCGCTTGGCCGACGTGGGCCAGTGCTGGGAGCATTGGTTTGATGTCTAAACATTGGGGCGACCCAAACTTTTCACCATTAGTCTGCATTCTGCATTACAGTTTCAATCACACCTGAACACAGAATTTTCTGACCAGGTCAGCTGGCCCAAGCAGTTTTTTGCGTTAGTTTCTACAAGCGGGGCGGTTTTCGGGGCAATGGAGTGCATAATTCCAAGCCATGATCATGGTTTATATCAATACTAGGGCAGAGTTGGGTGCCACGATCCATACCCATATTCCTATGTTCATTGGTTTTGGCGGTGCGAAACTTTTAACTATTGACACATAATCCCCATGGACCAGTTGTGTAGCCAATGATTATTGGAGAGCTGTTTTTGCAGATGCGTCGTTATGCACTCTTGGATATGTGATGGATGATTTCCTCACAATGATCATTTTTGATCCTGCATACATATATAGCCATAAGGACAAGGATCCAAACAATTTTTGACCCACGAGTACTGGAGATCGTACTTGCATTATGACGCAGTCGCGATCATCAACAAATTGTCAAACTATGACCGTTGCGGCTCATAGGCGTATCGTAATCATATCCATTCACAACCCAACTGTCAACCCATCATGAAACCTGTAATGTTCTGTCTTGATTTTTGCGTGGACCCCCAACAAATGCTGTATATACTCTTCAAAACTGTTGAATTTTGAAAAACGGTTCCCCAGATAGTTACAAACATACACATAGGTAAGGATTTAATTGGCGACAACCATGTTTTTTGCCGGTGAATTTGTAGTATTTGTAGTTCACTACCTGTTGTACGCGTAGTACTTGCAGTAATTACTTGTAGTACTTGTGGTACTTGTAGTACTCGTAGTACTTGTAGTGAGTCGGGTTCAGAATGTTGTTTGCATTACCTTTTGCACGTCATGGTTTTAAAGAAGGGTGTGATAAGAACAAGGGAAAGGAAAGAGAAAGAGAAGGATAGGGAAAGAAAAAGAGAGAGAGACAGAGAAAGAGAGAGAGAGAGAGAGACAGAGAAAGATAAAGAGGGAAAAATAGGAAAAAATGGAGAGAGAGAGAGAGAGAGAGCACAAAAACCTTTTAGGAAATGCTTGAAAATTGAAAATGGCAATTGTTTTTGTGAATTTGTAAAATATGTTGTTTCTTCTCTTGGCCCCAGGATCACAGGAAAAAAATGATGTAATTGCAAACCTGGCCAACAAACCTACTAAAAAAACTGGACCTTTGCATGGTCTGGTGATTTGAACATTCGCGTGTTGAGGGTTTATGAAGAGATTGGATCCTGTATGAAGGCAGACAAACAGAACAATTGTTTTTTTTGCACAACCATTTTTTTAGAAAAAAATGATCTGCAAAAAAAAACATGCCACACTAGTGCTGAATAGTTTAATTTTCTAGCCACAATAGCGAACATACTACTAATCAACATCTAACATTGCGTAAACAAGTTTTTAAACTACTATAATTTAATCTAGCCCATTTCATTTGCCTTCAGCAGATTCATAGATATAGAACATCAACATTGATAAATGTTAACCTTATAGTCACGTTCCATCATTTTCCACCGTGACTTTTCAGAGGATGCCCCGGGGCCGAGGCCGGGTTGCTTCTATTATACTGAAGAGTTCTCTGCGCCCTTCACGGAGGAAATCGGGAAAGTGAGTTAAGCCCAGTTCTGAGCATGGTGAGTATAGGGTTAGTCCAGTATGGTTGGTATAAGTGGGTTTTTTAGTGGGGTTATAACATGTTCTAAGCCATTTATAACCCATTTACTAACTGTGAATGAGCCACCAAGTATGTTTTTATTGGAACGGGGGCAAGCAACTGGAGGTTTGACTCCTCCGAGAGCTGGACGCTGGGTGACGGAGGTTTGTATGAAAATAGGCTGCCCCATTATGCCATTCACTGGTTAATCAAGGAATAATGGCCATAAAAATGGGGTATTCCATGGTATTCCCCATTTTGGAATCAAGAGTTGAGGCTAGTTAAGACACATTAAAGTGGATCAAGTGATATGCTAGACTTTGAAACGTTCCCCATTCATTATGCCTCTATTGTCTACTTATGTCTACTGATGGAATCACTATTATTCATTTTGGTTTAGTTGAACTCCTATCTTTGACCAGGTATACTCGTATATATGGGTGTATCTCAAAATAGGATGCTCCAAAAATTGATGCTTCATTCATCATCATGCTCCCAATTGAAATTGGTATGAGGTATCCCCCCATATCCCCCATTTCCAGACCCAACTGGATGAAATCGCCGTTGAAATCTCCCAAAAATTGGGTGGATCCCAAACCACTCTGGCAGGAAAAGCCTGTGAAGGTGGAAAAGTTCGCGGGGAATTTGGAGACGCTGGATTTTGTTGTTGGAAAGCTAGGGTTAAGATTGTTTTAACCAAGCAAAACAGATCAAAACAGTAATTTTATGAATGAAGGAATGGTGATTGCTCTAAAATGGTGATTGCTCTGTGAAAAGCTCAGGTTTACCATGGTTTAACCTCTAATCAACGCTGGTTGGGAACATTTTGATTACCGGAGTGTCAACCTTGGTAAATGGCAGGGCCATGGATTATTTTGTAGTCATACCTGCCATACATCTTTTCATTTTCATGGTCGAGTGAGGTCAAGTGAGGTTCTGACCAAATTTCGATAGTTTCGCCCAAACACCGTAAATTTCGCCAACATCACTGTTGGGGGTTCAAGGTTTAGGCTTTGTGATGCTCAGAACCCATCCCGTTTTTGAGGAACGCCTCGGGCAAATTGAGGTGGTGAGGAACGCCTCGGGCAAATTGAGGTGGTGGGTTATATTTCTAAGGAATGGAACATCTTCACATATTGTTCAAACATGTTCAAAATACATCAAAATACTACAGGTCAACATGTGATTTTTTCTTGTGGTACTAATTGAACACACCGAAGGTTTGCTGCTTAATTTCGATCGTAGCTTGGCTAGTGGAAAGTGTTTGGGGCCTGCAGGTGGTGCGAGTTGTCCTGAATGTTGGCGAGAAGGTCACTCCGGTTGACCGGTTGACCCCTCATTTTTTTTTTGAGAGTCATTTACGATTTGATTTTTAAGTAGACGTTGAGTCGTTCTATTTTTGGGTCCAACAAAACCCAATTTAAAAGACTGAAGAGTTGAGTTTTTTTGTGCATCTAATGGTGATGCTCAACTGAGTAGATTATCGATAATACTTGCAAGATGAAGCCCCCGGCAATTTGGTTTATGTTGTTTTTTTTCTGCCCCATGGACGAATTTTTGATATCTACCATAAACATCCATAAACCAGAGTCTTTACGTAGTTAAGTGATGTTCATCATCTTAGCTAATATAGATTTGATGAGATTCAATCAACGACAAATTCCCATGTTTCTTGGTGAAATCTCCATGGTTTGCTGGTGAAAAATCACCATGTTTCGCTGGATATCTTGGGATGAAAAGGTTAGCATGAGACCTGAACGTTGCTGGTTAAATAGGGGATCTGGTTGGTGGTTTGGAACATGACTTTTGTGACTTTCCATATATTGGGAAGAATCATCCCAACTGACTTTTATATTTTTCAGAGGGGTAGGTATACCACCGAGCAGGGATGTATGGGGCTAAATAAGTGGACTTAAATGGTATGATTGATCAGAAATGAAGGAGAATGGTGGTATCGTGACATTCACTGTACGCAAAATGAAATGGTGGGTCAATAGTGAGTTGCTTACTTTGGAAGCGACACAACATGCAAAAAAAAAGGAATCATCTAAGATGTGTTCTTCGCAGAGTGATATTTGCATATATTTGCCATGTAAAGGAACATGAAGGATAAACCTATAACAACGGAAGCTTCTATGAGCAGAAAGGTCATTTTGTCACTAGATATGGAACCCATCCTTTACAGCACAAATGTAAGTAGCATTGATACTGACATATAAGCAGCAATAATAAGGACTTTGACCAATGACAGGAAGGGGTTGAAGCCACAAAAAAGTACATTTGATCCATGCATTTTTTTGGGTCCACCCTGCATTGGGGGGATTGGTCCAACAGAAAATACGGTGTTTTTGCAATCTAGATGGAGATGAACCATGCGGAATGACATAGCCAAAAGATCATTGACGGGGTTTAGCCATAAATTGTTGGTGCCTAATCTACGAATCACGACCCGTTTGCCAAGGTACTGAAAATAGGTCTCACCAAAAGCAGTGGTGGGAAATGGTGGGAATCCAATGACAAGACTGACACGCAAACACATAATATATGTCCCAATCATGTCATGTGTAGTCCGTAAGAGATGGAAAAAGCGTGATGGTATTTATATATATATATGTATAATATGTATATATTTCACATTCCCAGTTTTTAGACCGTCTACCGTGGCCCCCAAGGACTCAAGATATTCACTAACCTCTGATATCATCGGCAAGATAGCAGGTTTCAGCAGTATACTTTTTTGTCTACTATGGACAGCTATACATGTTCATATATTATATAGATAGGATATATATATATACATAGGGTTCATATAGGAGTATATATATATGATATATATATATATGTATATGATATATATATATATATATATATATGTATATGATATATATATATATGTATGATATATTTAATTCCAACGGAAATGCTGACCATGGGAGAGTGACGATGCATGACCTGAAGCCTATTTGCTTTTTCGGTCCGCGGTCACTGAAGAGGCGGACTATCTGCGCTATGCAGACTGCTCTGTGAAGACGCCATGCGTGTGTTTCTTGGACCTGACAACGTCTGTTTTGTGTGAAAAAAATACCTCTTTGGTAAACTAAGATAACTAGCAAATATGTATAGCTTATCGTAGTTAACATATATTTCACATATACTACGCATTTTCTACTTAACATATATAGCTATTGAACAAATATGGCCATAGAAATAGTTGATGTACAATGTACATTGATTTAGCCATTAAAAATGGTGATTTTCCATTATGTTAGTTTACCAAGAGGGGTATGTAACAAATGATGATCATGAGTTCAACCAATACCCTCTCCGTGGTAAATTATAAGGACCTCACCAAAGACGTCACTGGCATGATAGTTAGTGTAAGGTAACTATAAAAAATAGCATTGTTTCAGGTCAGTGAGTGATTGCAATTTACCCAGAATAATGTACATATTGGAACCCACTGTCTTTAGATCGCTCTTGTTGGAAAGTCAAAAGTTTCAGCCAATGAAGAAGCCAACGGTGACCATCATTGCCATTTTGCCATTTGATGATGTATGGCATGTTCCATCCGTTCGTCAGGAGGGAGCCAAGGACTACAGGTATGCATATTATATGTGTTATTAAACTACATTAGATAAATGGGGAGTTAGGGAGCTACCTATAGTTTTCTTAACCACAGCGAAGATTCCACTATACAGGGATGGCCTGGGAATGGGTCTTGCCCGATTCAACAAATGGATGGCTTATTGGAAGTAATCAACTGGATGGGTGGTGGACCCAGAACAAATCAGAGATGTTCACAATCTATCGAAGAAAGACAAACGGTTGCCCAAAGACTCCAACGGAATTTACACACACACATCCATGGTACTTGTTTATTGGGCATGATGTGGATAAATGTTACATAATGACATAAAGTCAAAGTCCCAATGTAGTCCCGAGTTTTTTTGATTTTATCTTTACCTGTATAGGATGAATGGAGCCAATTCGTTAAGCCAATCCATTTGAATGGATTGGAACAATGGTACGGCACAAGAGTATGCAAAAGCAGGGTGCCAAACGGACCCCTAATTTTATGTTCACCTAACAGCCCCATGGTTTTTCATGAACTTATTTTTCAGATGGCTCTAAATGAATGAGGTAAAATGATCTACCCTGGTATACCCATGGTATCAGGTACCAGTTGCCGTTCCGGGCAAAACCCAGGCATCTGAAGCCAAGCCGGGAGTACTTGGTGGGCGCATCCCATCGTAAATGGCTAACAATATCATAGAATTATGGCTTAGTTATTGATGAAATTATACACATATGATATTAAATAATTAATGTGTATATATAATACATGGACTATATGGGTTGTAAACCACTTATTAAATGGGGTGCAGATCCAAGTAGGCCCGCTATAGGCACATCCCGTCCCAGGCGCTGTCTTGGAGTGATGCGATGGCAACGCCACCGTCGTTGCGGGTGAGAGCGATGAAATGTCAGCGATTCTCAGCCGACCTACCGTAGTGGTAAGGCCATAACCCTTAGAGAAGCTACCAAAAAGGGAAGTAAAACCTGTAGCAGGTGTATGTTTGCTGTGTACAAGATAGATGTATTCTTATATGTTCAACAGTGTTATCAGTCTTCTGAAGTGTCAAATGGTCAGATGTTTGTTTCGAAAGCATCAGAAACCACCATGATGTCCAGAGAGTTCCCGTAGATTTCCCGTGCATTAACCCAATCAATGGCTTTCTGAGACAGCTATGTCCAGTCTGCCGGCAGAAAAGACGTGCATGGGCTGATGGCGCGCATGTGACATTGACATACCATGATGTGCGCAGGTTGAGATCTCGGATGAAGTTGAGCACAAGTTGTATGCAATTGGCAGGGAATGATAATGTCACCACCCCTGATTGATGTCAAACAGGTGTCACGTTGTGGCGAGAAGCTTTCGACATGTGGAATCTCTTGCAGGTTGATCTATCAATGGTGCCTGAATATGTGCGCCTGGATTTCAGGTATGATTGGACAGATTTAGGTATCCACTATCTAGAGAGATAGTAGGTACCTAAAAAGGTGCCTTCAGGTACCTGTCAATCATAACAATCAATGGTGCCTTCAATTTTAGAGAAATCCTGTTATAATTGGAGGGAAGGGCATATACAGTACCCACATGTACCCACTATCTCAGCAGCGTTCAGCAGTTAATTACCCGCTACAGGTGGCATGTCGCTAGCGGCTCGGCAACCGTGGCTTCGGCGTTTGAACGGGGGCGGGGTTTGGTTGGCCAATCTGGTTTCTTTATACAGGGCTTAGATATGTGAGATATTTCATGATCGTTCCATATATCTATACTATGCATTACATATACAGATACACACATTACACAGAAACATATTACACTATAGCTCGCGCTTACAACCTGCATACAAGTCACCGAGGTTGTAGAAGTATTGCAGTGCCATTGACATGTTCAAGCTGTGTGAAGCAATTACTCACAAAAACCCAAAGAACAAATGAATCTCGCAATCCAACATTGATGCAAAAATCATTTGATTGAGAAATATGTTGGAGTTTCCCAACCATAAAATGGGAGTATCACAAACATAAGTTGGGATATTATTAGTGAACTGATTTGTTTTTTTTCGGTTTTCTCGTAATTTATGTTAAACTTGTCTTAAGCTCCACTTAAGCGATGATCAGTGATGCTGTTGGGATGGACTACTGATCCTTGTTGATATTGGAATAATTTGCTATCAGCAATGCTAGTCTTCGCACGATTAGCACAGAGAGCTAGAGAGAGAAAGAACACAAAAACAAGTAGAGGTAGATTTCTGCATTCTAGGAAAGCCTGTGAATCCAGAGTTCCGTTAAGAATTGCGTTAAACTTGTTTTCTGTTGGAAATCACATACCTATCGCAACTGAGCCCGAGTTCCAACAATGGGATCGATTCCATATATAGCACCAACGATTCTATGTTCCAGGACCTGTGTCAGAGTTCCACGGGGATTTACGAAAAAAAAAGTTTGTGTGTATATCATATCATATACAGTATCTATCACAAAATGAGAAAACCGAAGTTACGCCGAAGTTCATCACATATATCTATCATCCTATTTACTGTATAATTCTATCTTTATAAACAGTCTATATACTATTTTCATATATATATATATATGTATATATATATATATATTTACAGTAATTAAAGAACATGCACGCTGCAACAACCCATCGTTGGAAACTAGAGAAAACTACGGAGAGAGGCATGGGTAGGCAACAGCTAGGCGTACCTTAGTCGGGCGGGTTCGCTTCGCAAGCATCATCATCACCTTGGGGGGACCAGTTGTGATTCCCTGGCCCCCGTGGGACTCTAGGCGCACCGTCGTCGCTTCAGAATTCTTGTTGATTAATGCGGAGTTTATCAAAGTAGAATATACTTATATAATTATACCCCAAAACCAAAGACTTAGAACATCTTAGACAAGAACCAGATGGTTTTGGCAAATGGTACCCCCCCACAGTCACTACGTTTGTTAATCCCATTGGAGTTTGTCTGAAAATACGCTACTTCGAACATTTAGCCCATTTTCAGACACACCGTCATTATATCCCCAATCTCTTCCCCCATGAAATGGTTGCTATCCCCAGACACATAGCATTTCAAGATGGTTATCCACTGGATGTTGAGGCTAGAGCTGCTGCACCTGCCATGACCCCGGAGATGAATCTGGGGGGTTCTTCACAAGCAAACTGCACCAGCTGGGGGAAGTGAAGACATGGACAAATGATGATTTCAGGCGTCAAAATGTGAGATAAACACATGGGAAGCTGCTGTTTTCAGTCTAAATTGCTAGTTGGTAGAGGTGCAGCTCAGCTGACCTTGATTTTTTTTTGATTTTTGTAGAGCCAAATTTGCCAGTCCATGGTCCATGGTGCATTTTTCGGAACATGCTACGAAAGACCCGTTGGGCCGTTTCAGCCACACGTGTCTTTCAAGCCGCCGCCGCTTGAGGGCCTACGGATGCTCCAGCACCAATGGCAGATTCGTGTAATCCCCATCTATATTTGGTGTATCCCCATGTATCCCAGTGTTTGTTCCATCGTTGTCATTGTTTTCAATAGTTATTGGTCAACAAAGTATGTGACGGCAAATTTGATTTGTCCTTCTTTGATTTGGGTTAGTGTGTCCCCAACAGATTATATACTATCATTTTCCCATCACTATTGCCATTTTGGGATATACTTTACCCATCACATGGTGAAATTTGCTATGAATTTGTCCGTCCTTCACCTCATTTCACCACGGACGATTCCTGATTCTTAGGCTGCCTATGCCACCCTTTGCCAGCAAGGTGTGGGTCGTGACAGCAGTGTCTTATTGAATGGGGTTCTTACCGCCTAGACGTGGACAAATATGATGTAATGATAATGATAATGATCCTGTATGATTCACTATTTGACGATATATAAATTATATATATATATATTAATACACATACAATTTGATATGTATATTCGAATGGTAGATTTCACATTCCCGCTCCAGCTCAAAGGTACGTGTCTCCCTCAAAAAAATTGTTTTGCCCTAGATTTAGTATATTATATGGTTGGGATTGCATAGGTAAATATATATATATATTATTTGATGAAGCTCAAAGCTACCTTGCTGGCTCACTGCCTCCTTGCTAGCTCAAAGCTCAAAGCTACCTTGCTGGCTCAGTGCCACGTAGCTGGCTCAGTGCCACGTAGCTGGCTCAATGCCACGTAGCTGGCTCAGCGCCTCGTAGCTGGCTCAGCGCCACGTAGCTGGCTCAATTTTTTTAGCGAAAAAAAAAAAAAACTCGCAGAAATTGAGCCGGCTACATGCCCTTGAGCCGGCTCGCCAATGCGTCATGAACCCGGCCAATACATAGTTAGTATTCGTTTTGATGCTCTCACATTCGTCCGCCAGCTCAACGTGACGTAGCTGGCTCAATTTCTGCGAGTTTTTTTTTTCTCTTTTTTTTTTTTCGCTAAAAAAATTGAGCCAGCTCGATGCCATTGAGCTAGCTCGATGCCCCTGAGCCAGCTACGTGGCATTGAGCGAGCTCGATGGTGCTGAGCCAGCTCGTTGCAATTGAGCGAGCTCGCAGAAACTTCCCAATCTGTTAGATTGCATTAAATTGCCAGGTTCAATCCCCACTGATTACTTTGGTACTAGATATGGTACCTCTGAAAAAGCCCGAGGTGACTGTCAAAACATACCCCTGATGAAATTGAGCCAGCTACATGTTTTAAGCTAGCTCGAAAAAATGGAAGATTGTGGATTCCACTATTCAATATATAATATGATAGAATGCAATCCAATGTGTATACATATATATATATATAATCCCCCTTACAATATCCCTTATAGATCGGCGCCACCCGGGGGGCGCGATTTATAAAAAATAATCGCGGACCCAGGGTAAAAATCATGAATTAAAATTTCTTTGGTACCATGGATCTCTCATTTCATAAGGATGCTCTTATAAATCGCGCCCCCCGGGTTCAGTTTCTAATTGTAAGGGGGGTTATATATATATATCTATCATATCAATGTAAACCCTGAATAAATCCTGCTTTATGTGGAGATTAGGGGTTCCAACAAGTGAGACTTCGTCACGCAGATTTGCGACATGGCCCACCAATGAAGCGGCCGGTGAATCAAAATCCAGGCTTGACATGAGAGCATAGCAGCCGCCTCGAATTGTACGGAACACCCAGTTTAAATTGGATCAAATTTGTGTAGACATAGACTATGATTGCTGTATACCATATAGTTCCATATATAATTGTTTATTTTGATGATAGATCATTTGTGGTCCCCAGACATCTCAGATGTTTAATCTATAAATGTTGCATACCCATACAATGGTTGACAATATCTCCAACCAAAAATCCCCGTTTTGCCTTTTCTTATTTGTGGTGTCGCCTCTTGAAAATGAGGATTCTTATGATTTCCACTACTCTTCAGTCAGTAATCATGGCAAAGGAACATCCTTCTAATATAGTTCGATGAGTTTTTGATTTTCCCATCAACAACTTCATCAAAAGTGCGGGGATTTCCCAGCCATGGCGCCATGGCCATGATCACCAGGGAGATCCAGGCCATGTTTATGCCGGTTTATCCCACCAGCTCAGGTGAAAATGCAACAGTGGTTGCCGGCACAGGTCCTGCCGGATGGGCACAGGTCGAGCCCAGGGGGCCACAGATGTTAATCAATGTTTAGCTTAATACGCTATCTATTTTTGGGTACAATTTACGTATGTATAATTTTATATGTATATGTTATTATATGTATAATAAATATGTTTCTTATTACAATACATATATATATATATTGTATACTTTGGGGGTTGCAGTTAGGGTTATTTTTCAGAACGGATGCTTACAGAGATGTAATTTTTCAAAGGCAAGGTGGACTTGCTCATTCTGGATCATGCCTGCTCCTTCATGCCCTTTGAAGATGAAAGGCTTGGAACAGTTGAAGTATTACTCAGTGGATCGGTTGAAACTGCACTGCGGCTTCGAAAGACTTGCAATCCTTGCTGCCGAAACGTCTGAAGAATCGTTTGAAGGACGTCTCAATACATCAGGTGCGGAGCAAATCTTCTCATGGTTTCGATCTTGCTCCATGGTGTTGAACGAGGTGCACGATGCACAATGAGATGATGTCGATGACAGCACAGACCATCTGAACAAGTACTCCACAGAGAAATACAGAGAACAAGAGTAAACGCAAACTCAATAGCAAGCCATATTCACGCAACAAGACAAGTGTGAAGACCATTCAACCTATGAAGGCCAGGAAGATCATCAAGACAATGAAAACTATCAAGTGAGTTCCGGGTAGAGAAACAACTATAGTTTTTGTTTTGCCTTATGGCACAGGAGTGTTCGTTCACAGTTCACGCAGGCTGAAAAGCAATGAGATTGCTACATCCAATAGCATATGCTTATGCTCTTGCATGTCCTTGTTCAGTCTCTCTTGGCGGGCACTACATTCATGAGGCCAACGTGAGCAGAGAAAGTCGATTTTAGCAAAAACTTCAAAACAACACATAATCAAAAACAGATTCACCAAACAAAATAAACTGACTGGAAGAATCACCAGAAAAAAAGAAAACATCCTATAAAATTAAAAAAAATAGTCAGAACCTGGATTTTCCCCAGTTATGTTTTTGGTTGTGTTGTTGTTTCTTTTTTTTCTGGTTTTCTGGTTGCTCTGGTTTTGTTTTGTTTTCTTTAGTGTTTACTTTTTTTTTGCAAAACCCTACATCCTCTGTGTTGTTGGACTCCTAACACTACTTCTTTTTCTGTTGCTTCCAAATGTTGAATCAGCTAGTACTAGTGAGTTGGCGTATATTCCATGTTTGTTTCAAATCATCCGTGCTTTGCCATTCTATTGTCGTCAAAACATTGGCATTTTATAGGCACAGGCCATGCCAGAAGGCGTATAGCAACAGATTGGCTATCACATCTTTAAAACCTGCATAGAATAGGTCGATTGGAACTTGATATTTTACCAGGTTCCAAGGTGTACAAAAAAGTAAAGACATGATGTTTTGTGTTTTTTTTCACAGAATCACGTCCCCACCAACACTCGCCCTCCAGACTTTATGGGTATTTCTCAGGTCATCGATGCTTCCCACAGGTGAGCGCCCTGGGCAAAGCGCGCCAATGGCGCCGCGAATTGCGCAGGACCAGGGACCAGGGATTGATGGGCCTTGGGGGTTGACTTGCGCAGCTGCTAAAGCCCTGTTGATTGATTACTTTGGGTTATACTATCCATTAGTATTCAACATACATACTGTATATATATAATATATTGGTGATTCTCACGATCGGTAGGATCACCAAGCCGAAACTGGTTTAGTTACACAATGATGTTCTCAGTCATGAGGCGTAGGGTTTTCTCAAAGTGTCCAAACCCAAGGCACTGATAGATGAACTGAAATACATGGGTCATAGTTTCATGAAATACAGTAAGTCATATAGTTCAACGATGCACTGATAGATGGTGAGTGAATTGATGACAAGTTGGATTGTCTGCTGGAGATCTACCTGGACACCCACCCAACCATTTCTGTGACCTCAATGATAGCTGGGTAAGATTCGGTCCTATTGTCGTTGTTGTTGGTGGTGAAAAACGCCCTTGATTAATTGCCTTTGCGTCATTTTATAGAATGCTTATGGAGATATGTCTTGACGACCCATTTTTTACATCTGTATAGAGGAAAACAAATCAAGTGTGAAAACGAGATCGTTCAAATTTAGCTATGAATGTGGAAAACAATTTGAGGATTCCTGACCCTAAGGTCTGCTTTGTACGGAGTTTGAGGTCTAAGAAAAAGCAAACACACACACAAACACAAACACGTTTTACCCAAACGGTTAGAAAATGTTGATGGGAACTTGTTTTGTCTTCCTAGATCATCAACAAATCTACAGGGCACTGCCATTTGCACGAGCCAGGGCACGGCTCAGCCGCAAGCGGCTGGCGACATAGCCATGGAAAAAGGAGAGATGAATGTTGATTCTTGGCCCCCCAAACTGACTCATTCGGTCGTTGACTATTCGCAAATAGTGGGGATGGATCAAAACCCAAGAAATACCTATATAATCCTATATATATATATACATACCCTCTGGTTATTTAACATAGCCATGGAAAATGGCCTATTTATAGATGGTTTACCTATTAAAAATGGTGATTTTCCATGGCTATGTTAGTCATAACCAGATGGTATATGGATCTTATGGAGGTTTCCCAAAATATCTAAAATCAAACCAAACCCCGAGCCATCCAAGTCATGACCATCCAGGCCGCGGCCGCGCCGCCCGTTTGGCGGCCAGTGCAGGTGGCCTGGGACAGGTTTCCATGGGAAAAACCGTTCGGAAGACGTTCGGAACACCGACATAGAAAACATGGGGTCTTGAGTGGGAACATGATCTAAGCCTAAGGATCCATGGTGCTGGAATATTTACCTACATTGGGATTATTTTAAATTACTTTAGGGGTCAATGTAGGTAAATATTCCATACATGGATCCTCTGGGTAACTAGGGGGATGTTTAGTCAAGGTCTGAAAAAAGGTGGATTAGATGAAAAATCATGGCGTATTGACCAGCAAACATGGGATATGGGACCATAGTGGCTATATCATGGGGAATGGGGTATTACCAGCAATATGACCATATCAAAAATTGAACAGATCTTCGTTTTAAACACACCTCCGAAACCATGGTTTTGCATGGGGAATAGACGGAATAGACATATATTTGGGACCCTTTACATCCCCTTTACGGCATCAGCATTGGACGGGTGGGATATGTTGGGTGGTCCTTCCGGTTGCTCCTCCTCTGCTCCCTCATTTTTTTGCATGTTTGAGTTGTTCTGAAGTAGTCCCCTGTTGTCTTATAACTGATGTCAATGAGATGTTTGGCAGATATAGCACGATATACACAGGTTAACAAAGTTTAACAGTTATTTTGGTAGATATAGGCTCAGGCGCCCCTTTTGCCCAAACTCTGACCTGCCCCAACTTACACCTGGTCCCAACTGAATCCACATGTTCAATTCTTACACTGATTGAAGATCTTTAATAAAGGATACATTATTACAATGGTTGACGGTCTTCAATAAGGTATTAAATCCCACCCCAGTTAAACTATGACACTGATTGAAGATCATCAAACGGGCAAAAAAGGAATTTTGGAAAACGAGTCTTCGAAGACCCTTACAGCACTCTCAAATCGCAAAGCCTTTTTCGATCATGCCCAAGACCATGTCAAGACATGTTGAGACAGTCAGTCTGTACGAGAAATACCACGGTTTTGGCCCTTCGTCAAGACGTGATACATTGCATACCGGGCAAACGGAGACTCCTGGCCGATATACTATCATATCATATGATATATATATATATATATGTATACACATGTATATATATATATATACACATGTGCATATACCTACATATATGTATATATACACACACATAAACCAACAATATAGCTGGAGGGTATCACAATTTATGCGCCAGGCACCGCCTCGTTCAACGCTCGCGCCAGCCGCAGTCTCAGGATTCAATGCCATGGTTGGTGGTGGTGTTTTAGTATGTTTTAATCTGGGAATGGATCAAAACCTATATTATCCATATGGTGAAGAATGGGGATTTGGTAATTTAGCTTTTTGGAACATGTTGAAATCATGGGATGGGAGTCAAAACCAAAGGATACCATGGGATGACCATGAACTTATCAGCGGGGTTTTCAGCAATCCCAAAGATGTGGATCAATTTTGATGTGAATTCAAGATCCAGAAGTTAGGATCCATGCTTAGTGGGTCAAAAAGAAGAATCCTTGAGGTTGGGATTTATGTTTCATGGTTACTAGCAGGTTTATACATGTTTATCAGCCAATTTACAGTGGAGACAACTGGATTCGGCACTGAACCTAAGTTACGTGGTATACATTGTTACTAGTATATCGGGTGATGATGGGGCGTATATTCGGCGTATATGTAACTCATATGCGGGGTTTATAATGGTAAAGAAGAAGCTCTGTGCAGGGTCCCCTGCACGAGGGCAGGCCGGGGAGTTCATTTATAAGGCTTACACAGGATTTCATATCACCAGTAATCAATGAAGTAGAAAAAATTGCATATCTCATGCATGCGTTTCGTCGTGCCAGGGACATCAAGGGTCCCCCTTATAGTTTAAGATATTTCACCATCAAGCATGGGGGTTTGCCCACCAATTAAGGAGGTCCCATATATCCACCTTTTTTCTCAGAGCTTGCACTAACATTCCCTGTTCAGATAGTGGTGAGCACCCAGAAGGTCATGTAAATAAAAAGGAATATATAGAAAGAACTCTGTGAGACATTCATTGGCGCTCTTGAGGTGTGTGGGAAACTTTGATTACGGCTCCTTGCTGTGGGTAGGAATTCTTCCAACTGGTGTAGGTGTTTCGAAGCTTGAATTTCTAAGTAGATGAGGATGTTCAATTCAAAACGCAGTTCAATAAGGAAGAACATTCATGTGTTTGAATATTCCAGACTTCCAGAATATTGCTAGTTTGCCTTCAAAAGTTTGGCTTGCAAGCATCAACAAAGATGGAAAGCAGAATGATTCTGCATCTTGATTTGTTGCTGGTGAAGGTCTTGCTTCTTTGGATGTGGATGAACTCACCAGCCTTTTTTTTCCTTTTCACACATGCGCTTTTTTCCGGTAGTGCTTGAAGTGCTGGAAGTGCTGGAATCGAAGGCAGTGGAGGTAAGCTCGCCGGAATCTATCAATGTGATCTTGGCTATTGGTTGGGAGGTTGCATCAAGGCAATTTGCATGTTCAGACTTTGTCGGTCATCGTTTGCTAGATGGCGAAGTGCACTTGTTTTGTGTCGCTGTTTGAGCCAGCCAGCTGTTGCCAGATGTGAGTTTTAGTGGTTTATGAATAATAAATCACGCTTAGTACCGCGGCACCACCCCAACAAGTCAACCATGAATTTATCGATTTTGGGTTGCAATGACCACCATGAACCCTATCAGGAAGCATCTTTCAACCACGTGGATTTGCGGAGAAATCTCATGGTTGGTAGGATTTTCGCATGTTCAAACGGGTAACCCCCGTTTTTGGGGGACAACCCCGCATCGTACCGTTGGACATATTCCATTACATCCTGAGTATGTATATATATATATTTTTTTTTAATGTATTCCATTATACACATTCTCTATATGTAATTATATATATATGTATATACATACTGCTTTGGTACCTGGGTCCATTAGTTCACCTTTTGCATGCTGCGTAGCTTTCTTCTCGAGTTGTAGATTACCATGCCCTGTAAGGTAAAAGTAGCGCTGATCTTCGTTTTGCTTGCATGTTCAGTTGCTACCAAATTTGGTAGCGGAGCGTATCATGCTCCAGGGCCGGTACTTCAGTCGCCTGATGTTCGGCACAGGGACGTCAGACGACTGAGGTGCCAAGGCTTGTTGATGCTCCGATGGTTGGGTGGATCTCCAGATTCTTGGATCACACATCAGCTGCGAGCATTGCATCACTTTTTCGAATTTGACATCTTGAGCCCAATCAGTTTCTTGCAATCGTGTAGTCAGTCATTCTTGGGCAGTGAGCGTGCTCCAACTTCAAGCGATCTTGAGGGTGAGTCGAGCACCCATTGCTTTTGGAATTGTGATTTTGATACAACAGCGGTGGCCCACTTTTGCATCAACAGTACAGCGACAAGCGCGGCGAATTTTTTGCAGAGTGAGAGCCCTCTGCAGCAGGGGTTGCTGCAAGGCACAGGAACGACAGTAGACAGCTTGAGCAATTCTTTTACAACAGTTTTTTCTTGCACAGCTTCTTGCGACGTTTGTTCGGATCCGGGAACAGTGCAACAGGCGGTTTTCAATCAGCAGTCTTGCAGCGGTCGTTCACAGTGCAGCAACGAATCTCACAGCAACAGTTTTTTTCGGTGGACTCTGCAATGAGCGGGAATTTGATCAAGGTCCGACACATGACAGTCCCTCTGAGCAATGCGAATTCAAAATTGAACCAACAGAAAATGAGATGACGTTTGGCAGCAGGTGTTTTGCAAGCCAACACAGTGGAACCTCCGAAAATCTTGAACCATTTACAGGTTTGGACAAGCCGGGGGCTGGACCTCGTGCGATGACATTGGGGGCTGGACCTCAGAAGCGTGCTTGTTCTTCAGACCAGTCCATTGGTGTTCCAAACGGCTTGACATCACTTGTGGGCATGAGCGAGACGGGGGCTGTACCTCGTGCAACGACATTCGGGGCCTCACCTCATAGCCTCGCCGTTTTTGGAGATGACGAATTTTGTTGGAGTGATCAGATGTTGGATGACTACGAGAAGCTGTTCATGCCGCCAGTCGGCGCAGGTGGACAGGCCAAAGAGCCTGAATTCATGGTGCCTCAGGTTGACGCCATTTTGGCAGACGATGTCCCTGGGGCAGACAGCTCAACGGCAGATTTCGTAGTTCAGTCAATTTCTCAAGGCAGTTCAGAAGGGGAGTCATGTAGCCCCGATCAGGTAGAGCCAAAACCCAGGTCCCAGAGCAATCACCATGACATGTTTCCCAAAGATCATGTTGAAACTAGTTTCCTGACGTACCCAATTTCAATCGATGGTGTTCCAATCTCAGGCAACGGTGTTCTCGTCCCAATCCATGATGAATCACATGATGTGTGGCATGAGCATATTGACAATATCACATGTGATAACCATGACATAGACATGTACGGTCACTCACAATGCACACATGACCACACACGCGCGCGCACCAATCAGCCAGCCTTGACCTTGAGTAGCAGGAAGACCCAGGTTCCTGTCCAATCAGTTCTGAAAGTTTTGGTGTGTCTCATGTTGGTCGGTTTGCCAGTCTTGTCAAGTGTCTGTCTTGCCACAACAGCTGTTGCTGATGAAGTCTCCGAAGGCCATGACATTGTAGCGAATGTCACCAAATATTCATCAGCCAGCCACCATCCGAGATCTCTTGTGCATAGATTGAGTGCTATCACAGCGATGCATCCGATTGCCCAAGTGTTTGTACTTTCCATCCCAATCTTGATGTTTGTCTGTCACATGTTTCCAGGTGCCGGTGGTAATGCGTTCAGAACACCTCCAGCATGGGGCCCAGAGCAGGAGTCAACGTACCCGTTTCGTCAGTGGTCACGAGACGTTTTATTATGGTCAATCGCTTCGGATATGGAGCCGGCTAGAAAAGCTGCGGCCGTGATGTTAACTCTCCGTGGAGCTGCGCGCGAACTAAGCCGACAGATTCCACCCCAGGCAGTTGTTGCGGGAGGTCTTATAAACGGGGTGCAAGTTGACCCGTTAACCTATGTCATGCACGCACTGCAGGAAAGATTCGGAAACTTATGAGAAGAAATTCGTGTGCAGTCCATCACCGAACTCATGAGTTTCCACAGAAAAGGGAATGAACCAGTAGACTCACTTCTTGTTCGATTTGATAGCATTCGATCAAGAGCTGCAGAACAGGGCGGTGCCGTGGTCGGTGTACAGGGTGTTGCATGGATCTTGTTAAGAGCCATTGGAATTACAGATCAACAACTAATCCAGCTGCTTGCACCTTTCAACGGGTTGTTTCCTGCAAATGAGGCAGAGTTGAACCAACTGAAGACCAGCTTGAGACGCATGGGACATATCCTTGAAAGAACCCCTGGAAATCTGCGCGAAGGACTGAGATCATCTACAAATAATCCATCCAGTGCCTTCCTGGCCAACGCAGATCCTTGGAATGAGCAGCCGAGCCATGACCAATGGAACAGATATGACGACCATGCATCTCATGAATGGGCTGGACAATCAGCCTTCAATGCATCCGCATCATCACAGCCATCACAGCCATCACAGCCATCCCATGAAGCCGCTTATGCAATGTTCGAGGATGAGGACATCGACACAGACTCAAACACAAGCTCAGGCGAGTGCAGCTCAGTGAATGCCAAAGGTCAAGACCCCAATCGTGTTGCACAGACCTTGTTTTGGGCATATAGGCAGGCCAAACATAAGTGGAGAAAATACATGGGTAAATCCACTAGGGCTGTGAGACGCTATGCAAGAAGATTCAATAAGTATCGGGGAAAAGGCAAGGGAAAGAAAGGCAACCCAACCTTCACTGTAGGCAAAGGCAAAGGAAAGAAGGGCAAACATCCTGTGACAGCCATGCTTGCAGAGATGGATGATGGTGAGGTGCAGTTGGCATTGCCCGCGTTCAGAGGCCATCGGTCGCCAGGAAAGGGTAAAGGCAGAAGGTCTAACCCCAAGGGTCCAGATGGTCAGACCATGCGCTGCTTTGAATGCGGCAGCACAGAACATCTTGCCGGAGCATGCCCCAGACGTGCCTCCTCGTCAGGATCGAATCAAGCCACAACCTTCTTCACACGTGCAACCGATGCCAATATGTCAGTCTTGGGTCCATTGTCAGGTATCATAGATGAAACGGATGTTTTTCATATGACCAGTGCCGATAATGTGACTTTTGCAACTCATGCTGATAACCCCGAATCAGAGCCAAACACATACCATGCATTCATGATGTCATCAGGTGAAACGGATCCGTTGGAACAGAATGACCCATGGAGCAGTGCAACAACCCATTCATGGTCCGTTCCAACATCCGCACCCCGCAGTTTTGGTCCCATAACCAGTGCAGGTCGTCCCACAACGCAAGCCTCATGGTTTCCCTTTGGTGCATTCGGACGCAGATCAACGACATCAGAGCCAGCCATATCTCACAGCAGTGATCAGTCTCGTGTTGTGCCACCATCAACACCTCGCACTGAAAGACCTTTGAATCCAGGATATGTGCCACCTGAACCGAGGCCATTTCCAGTGAATGCTCCTGGTAACCCATCCCAGCCTGTGGATGAACCATCCGCTGAAGCGACAGCTGGTCGCAATCAGCCGAGTATGCAGTGGGCATCAATGTCACAGATGCCAGCGGAACTAAGGGATTTGCTGCCGTTCCCTGTGTTGGCACCGCCTACAGTGCCAGCCTTTGCAGATCGACCGGAGTTTGAATTTCTTCGCATGGATTCCCAGCAGCAGTTGCCACATCCGCCATCACTGCGCGAGCCACAGCTTTCGATGTTGGAAGGTCCTGTCAGGCCACAGATTGAGGATTTTCACTTTGTACAGCAGCATGTTGCATATCACCGCCATCAGACCAACCGTGACATGCCCATGAACCGACCAGCTGTGCAGATGAGATCCAATCTAGATCGACAGTACCGAGCCCAGATGTTTGAATTCCATCAGACACAGCAACATGTTGAAAGATCCCGCAAACAGAAGAAGGAAAGATCGCGCCAGCCTCGCCTCAGCACAGAGGAGTCAGAGTACGATGGGGCACCAGACGTATGCCCGTTGTGCCGTGAAAAGTTTGAGGTTGATGAATCTGTTCTCAGACTGGTTTGCAAGCACTTGTACCACGTTGAGTGTTGGACTGAGTACATGTGCCATGGCGAAAGACTAGTTTGTCCTGTTTGCCGGGGTGGCTGTCATGTTGTTGCAAGGTATCGCATTCCAGCCGATCAAACATCACCACCATTGCCACCATCACGACCTGTAACTCCAGAAAGGAGCAATGATCGAGACACGCCAGATGCATTCAACATCTTCACACCACCACCAGGCCGTGCCCCGCGAGGCACCAGTGATTCGTCAGCAGTAGGAACACCGTTCTTTTCTCCTGATAATCAAGAAGCATATCCTTGGTGGCCCAGTGAAAGTTTTGAACCGACTGCAGCATATCACTCGATATCCATTCCAGATCGTGCCGGCATCATCATCGACCCAGGCGCTTACACGAATTTGATCGGAGAAAACACAGCCAGAGCATTCGCCCAGAAAGCCATCGAAAACGGTCACAAGCCCAGGCAATGGAAGATGAAACCAATGTATGTGCAGGGTGTTGGAGAAGGACAGCAGAAATGTGAATGGACTGTATCAATCCCGATTGCATGCAAGCTTTCAGTTGGCGGAAAGACGGTGTGCCTAAACTATTTTGAGGCCCCTGTTGTAGGCGGGAGTGGTGCCAGATTGCCGGCCTTGTTGGGCCTCAGATCCCTCACATCGTTGTCAGCCACTCTGTGCATGCATGAAAACAACGAAGCCCTGTATGTGCCACTGCCTGGAGGGCCAATTGAAGACTTTGCATCAATGCCGAAAGTGCCCACTGTCCAAAGCACCATCCGGCCATTTGATCATGACGATTGACCACTGGAGGGAACTCGCCCAAGATTCCCGAGCAGGTGTGCAGCCGAAGCCCATGGTGTTTCATGTTGACCCACTGCAGCCGTCGACACCGAGCACCATGCAGTCACCCCTGTAGCAGCAGCCATTTCCCAAAATAGTCAGGAACCAAAAAATGCTGACTAATCCTAGCAACTAATGGACTCCAAGATAATCCACCACAGAGCCCGCCTGCAATAGTCCCATCAAGCTATCAAATGAATGCCCATAGTCCGCCTGATGTAATCTCCCATCATAATAATCCTGATGTAACTACCCATAATCCCCCAGCTGTAGCCCAACCATCTTGTAATAATCCGGTAACATCACAAGCTCTGGTGGTTGAAGAAACCCCGATGTTATCCAATGTCTTACAAGATGCAGGTTGGAAAGCTGTTCGGTATTCACCACATCAGATAAATTCAGGAAACACTTCGCAGATTGCATTTGACATTAAGCAAGGCCATTTTAAACTTTTGTGGATTGACTTGCCTCAGATTGGACGACATGTGTCCAAAGACCGTATGCATTCGATGCTATCTCAACTTTGCAGGTGGCTACAAATCGCCAGTGAGGTGGGCGTAACAGCGTGTGTATTTGGCGCCTTTGGACATTCATGGAGTAACGAAAACTTCCAAGTTTTGACCCAACAGCATAAGTTCCACAAGTCATACCATAGAGCCTGCCACTTTGGTTTAAAATTGGACATTACTCAGACGGCCCCAAGTAAGATTTGCTTTGTCCTTTTGAGCAAGCCAAAGGTTGAATCTCACCTTTGCAATTGTGAAGCTTCGCAGAATGAACATAAGCTTGATTGGAAGGGTGAACGTACATCCATTGCACGGCGACCAAGAATGAAGATTCAGCAGTATATCGCACAAGCAGCCATCAAGAGGTTGATTGATGCACACCGAAGAAAAGAAAATCACAGGGTGCACCATGACACACCCGACTGCAATTACCTAATGCAGAAGCAGTCGACTGAGACCTCAGCACGTGGCACAGTTGTTGAACCTATCCAGAATTCGTACACTGTCCGTGATGAACCAGCCAGTCCACATCATGTCGTACCGACATCATCAGAACCAATTCCTTGTTTTCCAACCGAAGAAAGATTGCGACAGAAAGAGCGGCTTAAGAAGATGAAAGAGGCAGGGGAGAAACCGAGAACCCGCAAAGTTCATGTTGAAGATCATCATGGTGACTGTGGGACAGATCACAGTGCCCTTGCGCCGTTTTTGGATTTTGAGGTAAGTAACTTGCAGCAGCAGCAGCTGCAGCAGCAGCAGCAGCAGCATGAAGTGGCTTTGTATCAGGCCATCGATGCATTGTATGACTTTGAGTGTGTTCAACTCAGCACTCATAGCTACTATGCCAACAATGTTCAACTTGCCCTGAATGTCCTCGCACCACTTGCTTCAAAGATTGACATAGTCGAAATTTGTGGTGGATCCGCCAGAACCTCCACAATGTGCTTCCGCAAGCATCTCAAGGTTGGATCTAATTTTGATTTGGTAACCAGCGTAGACCTGAATAATCCCAAAGACCAACAATTGGTAATGCAATATTTCATTGATCATAAGCCTTTGGTAGCTGTCATGTCTCCCAGATGTTCACCATTTGGAGCCCATTCAAACCTGAACTACAAAATAAATCCAGATGGTTGGGAAAGAACATATCAAGAATCAGCACCACATGGACGTTTCTGTGGGGAACTTGCCTTACACCAAGAACGTAACAATCGGTATTTCCTCTTAGAACAACCTCATGGCAGTTGGCTGTACGAAGAATATCCTTGGAATATCGTGTGTTACCTACCATCAACCATATGCGTCACCATCCATCAATGCATGTTAGGTCAATCAAGTCGGTCCCAGCAACCTGCCAGCCAAGAAACCCACAGACTTGATTGCAAATCACCCCAAGCTACTTGAGCCATTTAGAGATGTCTGGTGTGAATGAAGTCACCAGCATGACACTTTGGACAGCGGTAACGCCAAAAGCTGCGAAAAGTGGCCTTGGGCCATGGCTAGAAAAGGGTGTGAAGGAATCATCATGTTGAAGTTGCACTTGGAAACCTCTATAGACCCTGAGCATTTTGCATTCCCTACTCGTAGCACTAATACTTCTGCTGATGACGAAGCCCGAGCCGATGAATCTTGGAGAAAGTGCCCAGGGTGCCGTGGACGCCAAAGCAAGACAGATCCACGACACTCGCGGGTCCGAGGTGAATGCATGTGGCCAGATGTTAAACCGGTAGTATGTTTGTCCAGGTTGTAAACAACATAAACCGTATGGCCATCCGTCACACACCCATTCAGAAAACTGTAAACATGCCGTGATAGCCCACAGAACAGGTGTCCCACGTACTGGCCGACATCCGAGACCACCAGACAGGCCAGCATCAGCATCGGTTGCTGCAGATCTGCAACCCCAGCTTGCAGATGGAACCGATCTTGGTGCATTGGATGAAGCTAGGGCCACTGGTAGCAGTGTCACGCACGATGGAAGAATACCACAAGAGCCTCCGCCAGAGATCATCCGACTTGGTAAGTATCGCTCTTGGACTGTTGCGTGCAACGGCAACCCAGCCGTAGTGCATGACCGATCAAGTGAGTTTGCTGTACCAAGGCATGAACATGAAGACCATAAGTATCGAACTACTTGGGCCAGGACTAACCAACGATGGTATCAATTGGAGTTAGCAGTAAATTGGTCAGACATGGATAACCCGAATGGTTTATTGCCAGGCATTGCTAATTCCTTGATAACCATTTTCCATCCGAGCCCAGATATCGACCTGACCCCATTCCTAACTACAACCAGTGACATAGTCCCAATCCACCGAGATAATCATCCCAGAGCATTCCAACCACGTGCATCAGCCAATAAGAACCGCCGAACATTCCAGGATGCAGACGTTGGTACCGAGCATCCCGGGGATTGGTCAAGGTTCAATGTTGGAAGATCGTTGAAAGCTTTGAGCGCTGGTAACAATGCCACACAAATTCGTGAATTGAGAAAACTTCACCTAAGATGGTGGCATGGGAGCAAAGAAGCTATGAAACGTGTTTTATCAGCAGCTGGCTTGCCAAAAGAAGTGCTAGATAAGATCCCTCAGGTAGTAGATACTTGTCGAGAATGCCGCAAGTGGGCTAGACCTGCACATGAAACTATTCCAACATTGAGGATGACTACCGCCTTCAATGAGCATGTTGAAGCAGACTTGATGTTTTATCGAGAACATGTCATTTTCCATTTAATTTGTTGTGGAACCCGCTGTCATGCAGCTACTGTCGTCCAGACCAAGCAAGAACAGGAACTGCTGACAGCCTTGAATCGCATCTGGATGTCCATCCATGGACCCATGCAGCAGCTCATCACCGATGGCGAATCGGCTTTGACCTCCGACCGAGTGCAAGCCCAGCTGAAAAGACAAGGAACACTTGTAAAGGTGAGGGCACCAGGTCAGCATGCCAGATTCATTGAGAGACGAGGAGCCATCCTCAGAGTGACACTGCACTGTTTGGATAGTCAGTTGATCAGAGAAGGAATCAATTCCAACATGGAAGATTTACTTGCAGAAGCAGTGTTCGCTGGAAATTCCTTAGTGCACGTAGGAGGAGTGACACCCTATCAATGTATCTATGGACGAACGCCTGCTATGTTGCCTCCACTGCCAGAAGAAGTCGATGTGTCAGGAGCTGAATTGGATGAGTTGTCCGATCGCACCAGACATAAAATTAGGACAGCTGCCCTTGAAGCCATGATTCAGGCAACTAGCCTTGCAAGAACATCACGTGCCATTCGATCCAGAGCCATTGCTGCCACAGAAGTTGTCTATCGCAAGGGTGACCTTGTTGATTATCATCGGCCAACCACCAAAGATGTCTCAGGTTGGCGTGGTCCTGTGGAAGTTGTGAAATGCGCGCCAACGCACTGTGCTTGGTGTGACACCCGTGATATGCTTGCTGATGGAATGACCAAAGGTAGTATCTCCAGAAGTGAAATTCTTAACGCCATGATTGGTATCTTCAGCTTTAAACATCAGATTCACGAACATCGATTCCAATGCATCGATGACAGCGCACACGTGCACGCACAGACACACACCTCATGACATGCCATACGGATTTAATCTATACCACAGGGGTACAACCATGATCACACCCGACTGCTTTGGTACCTGGGTCCATTAGTTCACCTTTTGCATGCTGCGTAGCTTTCTTCTCGAGTTGTAGATTACCATGCCCTGTAAGGTAAAAGTAGCGCTGATCTTCGTTTTGCTTGCATGTTCAGTTGCTACCAAATTTACATTTCTTTTTATCGATTTATTTGTTTTTTGTTATTTGTTTATCTTTTAAATTATTTATTTATTTCTACTACATAATATAGTATATTGTGTTCAGTTTTGCACCCCCATTTTCACGACAGACCCAGCAAAATCATGCAAAATCTTGTATAATCGTATGTATGTATATATATATACATACATATATATATGTGTGTATATGTATATAGTATATTTTATTTACATATACATGTATAGTGTGTGTATATATATATATATATATATGGTCCCGTCCTCCGTCTCTCCACCCCCCCCATGGGTTGGGGGGGGAGGGGGTAGCTCGCCTCTGGGGATCCATACATACATACGAAGCATAATCACCCATACCATACATACGAAGCATAGTCACCACGCCTACCATACATACAATTCCAAACATACATGCCATACATACCATACCTACCTTACATAGGAAACATTCCATACCCATCATAGTAACCATGCATACCATACCTATCTTACCTATCATGCATACCACACATACCATACATATGAAGCATAATCACCACGCCTACCATACATACAATTCCAAACATACATGTCATACATACCATACCTACCTTACATAGGAAACATTCCATACCCATCATAGTAACCATGCATACCATACCTATCTTACCTATCATGCATACCACACATACCATACATGTGAAACATACCCAACATACCATACCAGCATGCAAAGACGAAGACATGGGTATGGACATACAAGGCCACTACCAGCCACAGGGGGGGGAGGGGGAAACACCCATGACCACAGGGGGGGAGGGGGGGTACCCCAACCCATGGGGGGGGGGAGGGGGGGTGGCAGGGCCTGGAGCATATATATAACTATAGGTATGTATCTTCCAACCATAATCACAGATATATAATCATCGCACCTAAGGCGGCCGGATCGCTCACCGCGCGGCGGAGTCGAGGTGCAGTTCATTTTTGTGGAGGGGCATTTAGAAACCCCCAGAAGTTGTGATATAACTATGGATAACTATGGATAACTATGGATAACTATGGATAACTATGGATAACTACGGATAACTAGGGATAACTATGGATAACTATGGATAACTACGGATAACTAGGGATAACTATGGATAACTATGGATAACTATGGATAACTATGGATAACTATGCATAAGTTGGTTATAACCCCCCATAAAAATTGGGATATCACTGAGTGATCACCCCAATACAACTAGGATTGTACCATCATACACTCCCTTGATGTTGTGATGTGACCCCTATAACCATGGTTATATACAATATATGCACTTTGAACTGCAACTGCACTTGCAAGTATGTATGAGACAGATGTATATATATATCGATATCTACTTGTATGATGTTGATACGCAGTGCACATCATTAGTGTAAATCAAAGTACTACACTCACAACTAGACATGTACATGACTTCCAGCCTATCTCTTTGTGAGCTCGATCAATGCATCAGTTGCAGGGTGGCATAGAGACAACAAGTGCCTACAGTGCCGTTAGCCCAGTGTGTCTGTGTATATAGCGACGGATTTAAGCTTAGAGTCAAAATAAAATCTTCCAAATGTTACAGTAACTAAGCAAAAAACAACACCTTACGTAGAGCCCCTTTGCTTAGAACCCACTACCCCCTATGCTTACAACCCCTATGCTTAGAATCAAACAATGCACAAGTATAATATACATCAAAGATCTGCCGTACCTCCTTGCAGAAATGTATACTTAGAACCCCTAGGCCCTATACCTTTACATATCTAAAATAATATGTATAGATACATGAAAGAGTCTGTTGCTGTATATTTATATGTACACATCCATGCCTCCATGCAGAAACGTATACTTAGAACCCCTAGGCCCTATACCTTTACATATCCCAAAAGCATGTATATAATGTATACATGAAAGAGTCCGCCGCTATATATTTACGGATGGGGCCCTAGGTTCTCCGATAGATGATAGGTGTTGATGATCAAACATGTGAAAAATGTGCGTTTCGCCATAGCGAAACTTGCATTTTGACATGAAGCATTGTTATGTGGAATTGGGCATCAAAACGGATGAAAAAAATCTCGTCCGTTTTGAGCGCTTACAAAGTTGTGATTTACTTGATATGGGTTAGGAGGGTATAACGTTGTAAATCCCCCTATCAATACAGCACAGATACGTTGCGATGGTATGCAACATATGTTGAAACATCTCATTTTACCCTGTGTTTTCGCAAGCAAAATAAAGGTAGCCTTATTTTACATGATATTTGCACTACATTTGAATGTTGCTTGAAAGTGAGGAACCCTGACAGTCAGCATGTTTTTTGTGTTGTTTTCTTAATCTTTCGTGCATGATACAACGTGATCATCTGCAGCGGAGCATCAACAACGTGATCAACATTCCACGAACGATAATACACCCCACCCCACCCCACGCCCCACCCCACCCCACGCCCCACCCCACCCTGCCCTGTCGCGGAGCATGATACAACGTGATCATCTGCAGCGGAGCAACAACCGGTGTGCGGTCATCGGAGAACCTGGATCCCCAAGGGTATATTTATATATACGCATCCATGCCTCCTTGCAGAAACGTATACTTAGAACCCCCGGGCCCTGTACCTTTACACATCTCAAATGATATGTATATATACATGAAAGAGCCCGTCGCTATATATTTCTATATACGCATCCATGCCTTCTAGTACAAACATGCATCTGGTGGCTCCAGAGGAGGCGGACATGGCAGACCGTAAACAACATCATGTTTAAGCAGATCCAGAACAGGTTCTAAGTACAACGTCCATCTCGTGGGTGGCGAAGTCATTCTAACTTCCAATTTTCTCACTCTAACTCGTGAGATTGGATTTTCGCCAACTTTTCCAACAAGGTATTCTAGGCTTAAGTCCGTCGCTATATACGTATATATATATATATACATATTATAAATGCAGCATACATGCATGTGTAGTTCATCAAATAAAGATATATGATGATATATGAATATATGAATATTTGAATGAGTATATATATATATATATGGTATATATATATGGTATATATATATGGTATATATATGGTATCGATGTCTGTTCAACATCTTTGCGCTGCAGGCACCACTTCAGCATACCCTCTGAGTTCAGTAGCTCGGCCCTGGACCTCCAGTCCGCAGGCGTTCGGAAGCCCTACACGGCGACCGGTGAAAGAAGCTGATGTTCCATAGCAAACTGTTGAATGACCCAAGGATATGTAGAAACAATGAGAAACACAGATCATACAGATCTTAAAAGCTGAAGAATTGTGTGGTTTCATGTGTTTTGTTGTTTTTTTTCCGCAGCGTGTGCTTATCCCACATCAAACGGGATGACTTTCAGAGGGTGTTGTTCAAGCATAAACCATCAAAGGCATGCAACAATGTTCAGCGTTACAGCACATCCAATGAATCTATAAATGAGTGAACATTTCGAACAAAGCATGAGGTGGGCGTTATTGCACCCTATCCGGGACATCATAATCATTCACAAGAAGTATGCAACTCACTAGGAAGTTGTGTTTATGTGATATTGGACCAATAGTGCTGCCCAATAGTGGAGTGTACTGGTACCTTGTAAATTAATTATCCCAAGGACGATGTGTGTAGTTCGTAATTAGTGAACCACATATTCAACAAACAAGATAGAGACTGGAATAATCGTTTCATGTTCCGAACATGACGGGAAACCGTGGTGAATGCAAGTCTGTACAGCAACAACATGGTCCATTTGAAGGGCATAATCTAATTAATTTAATTATCAATGGATATTAAACTAGTCATCTTTGGCTTCCACATATCATTTGAGGAACATATCAATGAACATATACCATCCTATACACAACCAATTCCAATTACTTGGAGGATCTTGCACCAGCGATGTTTGGAATGCGGAATGCCACTACAACTGACACTCACAAGCTCATGACACCCCATGTGACAGAGTCAAAGCTGGTTTTCTGGATTTAAACCCGCAACCTCATCCAAAGCCATTAAAGTGACTTAAATGTGAATGGAAACAAACTTAACCACATGTTTGGGGAATTTTGTTTAATGTTGAATTCCGAACATTTTTTTGTTGCTGATCCTGACAGTGATCAGCCTTGGTCCAATTTACGGTGGACAACGCCAATAGTCAGGTGCCTGAAGGTTGGCATAGTCTGCTGCAGGTGCGTGATCCGATAGCCGCTGGTAAACTAGCAGTTTGCTATTGAAGCCATGGCCCAGTCGAAATTGTCGATTTACGCATTAAACATGGTGATTTGTTTATAGTTATGTTAGTTTGCCAGAGGGAAGGTTTCCATGACCATGTTTGATTGCCGAAGGATCCGGAGGGTACTCGAGTTAGTGGCTTACAACGAGTTATTATAACCCCAGTTCTAAGTGACCCACTCACCTTCAAGGCACATGTCTTCCCCTTCCGTGGCTACTGTATTTGCAGCGAGGTGAACACTTGGATTCCTTGAACGGTCTCCTTGAAGAAAACAATTGAAAAGTGTATCAATATCGATTCAATATCCATTTTCAATGCTGGCTGCTACTAAAGTTCGTTCCGATGATGATTTAAATTCGCTTCGGCCAATGTTGTAGCCCATCTATATAGGGGGTGCATCATTTTGGAGAGATATATAGGGGGTGCATCATTTTGGAGAGATATGTGTTTTCGCTGGATCAGCTGGATCTATACCAGCTGGACCGTCATGTTCAATATTGCAAGCTGGTGTTTCAATTATAAGTATACAATATTCGTAGAGTACTAAATATAGTAGTGATAACCATGATTCTGCTCAGTAATATATATGTATATATATATATATTTATAATATATATATATATATCGATGATATTACACATATTTATATGCACACATATATAATGTATGTATGTATGTATAATTATACACATTTAAATATAGAATATATGTATATATATATATTATATATTTATATATTTATTTATATATATATATATTTATTTATTTATCATTGTATATTCATATATAGAGATTCCGATAAGTGAATTTGAACAACGCATCCCTTCCTTGGAACTCCATAAGTGTCTGGCAGGCGGCCCGAGAATGGGGTTCCACCCGGAGTCGCGCTGAGCACGGTGCGCCCCTGTCTTTATGTGGATTTCACAGAGTTCACCGAGAAATTTCGATGGATTTTGCCGTTTTGCCATCACAGATTCTGATCTGAGCCATCATCGGAATGGGAACCCTCAGAAGTGATTGAGCCAATAGAAATGGGGAGTTTTCCCCATCACTTGAGTCACTGGAGATGTCGATGTTGGTAGCTAAACGTCTATATGTTAGAGTGGTCTGGCGAAGTACTGAACATGAATTTACCAGCAAGACACATGTTTATTGGTTGATGTTTTGGGTGTACCCTCATGTTTTTTTTCTTAACTTCATGTGGTGGTTTCAATTTCTCCGGCAGTCATTGAGCCTACGAGCCAGGAGGGGATGAAAAAACAAAACAATTGGAACGGGAAAACTAGCTGATGAAGTGTTTGGCAATCTTTACCTTTTTTTAAAGATCCCTAGGCAGGGAACATGCTTATGAACAGACAGCAAATACAAACACTATTAGAATGTACAACAAAGCGTATATAGCAAAAATTATTCGGCTATATCGTGTGAAAACTGGTGCATGGTTTGAACGACAAGGACGTTTGATACAAAAAGAATAGGGATGCAAATGTGACAGCTGCAGACGCAATGAGGGCACGATTTGTCAGGAGCAATGATCTGGATACGATGCGCATCACCCATTGCTATGAATGGGGCTATTTCTCTAATCATGCCTGAAAAACAGCAAACAAAAAAGAGGAACAAAAACTAGGACTAGAACCAACTAAACTGATGTACTGACATGATTGACCTATAATTACCAGAATCCAGGGTAATACCGTAATACCTCAAAATGAACATGTTTTTACATTGAATCATGTCTTACCCACTGCATGCACTTGTTTCCAGACTGGGCAGAAGGACTTCACCCTTAAGGCACCATAATAATAAAAAACATAGCAGCACCAGCTACTTGTACCTTCTCAGCAACGATGTTTAGCGAAGTGAAATCTAGAGGTTGGTCCTCTGGTGGGCTCTGCCCGTGTGCCCGTGTGCCCGTGGATCGGGGTTGTGCCCGTGTGCCCGTGTGCCCGTGGATTGGGTTGTGCCCGGGTGCCCGTGTGCCCGGGCCAGCGACAGGTCCAGAAGTCCAGAAGTGACACGCTTGCAGGCAGTTGCAGTCTGTCTTTTGATTCCCCAAACAGTTTTGTCCACACTGAGGGGTTCTTACGGTGGGTGTAAAGGCAGGTGCCTGATCTGGGTGCTCCTCACTCTGGTCTGCGGCGTGTTACCTGTAAATTTCCGTATGGTGCGGCTCTTATGACATGTTGAAATGCATTTCGACTGCTCAGGCTCGCGCAAAGTGTATGTCTGCGTTCTGGCCTCATCGGTCTTCCTCCCTCCTCAACATCCTCCTCCTCAACATCAACATCTTCCTACTCAACATCATCATTTTCCTCTCCCTTGACACCAACTTCAATCGACTCCGCGGTACACAGCGGATGTTCCAGCTAGGAATGTTTGATTGGTAATTAAAACTTCCCAGCTGGCATGTCATGACGATGTCCTAGGACTGATATGTGTCCGTGTGCCCATCTATCTGTGTATTGACATCTCTTTCTCCCTCATTCTTTCTCTCTCTCTCTCTCTATCTCTCGCTTTCTCTCTCTCTCTCTCTATCTGTATCGCCGTTTCCCTTTCTACTTATCCTTTTTGCCTATGCATCTATATGTCTGTGTGTCTGTTTTTCTATCTATCTACCTATCCACCTATCTGTTTGTCTGTCTGTTTGTCTGTCTGTCTGTGTCAAGCGGTTGCCGCAGCGTGATGTCATAGCAGCATGAGCTCGTTGCCCGTCGTTGTAGACCTCGGTGTTTGTTTGACATTCCTTCTTGTTGCATTGTTGCATGAACATGTGGTTGCCTTGTTGTTTGCATGCAACTTTGTTCGGCTGTGCTGTGATGCCTTGATCTAAAATTAATGTCGACATGCGGCGTTTCGGCGCTGTCTGCTGTAGATGGCATGTCGCTGTCTTTGCCGTGTTGTTTGCGTGGAGCTTAATGTCGTTTTTTTGCCGTGATCTCAAGTTACTTTCCACATGTGTCGTTTTGGCCCGGTCTACCGTAGATTCCTCGTCTCCCTTTCTACTTTTGGATTTATCCTTTTGCCTATGTACCTATCTATGTATCTATGTATCTATGTATCCGTCTATCTATCTATCTATCTACCTATCTATCTATCTACCTATCTATCTATCTATCTAATTATCTATCTAATTAATTAATCTATCTATCTAATAAATCTATCTATCTAATAAATCTATCTATCTAATTAATCGATCTATCTAATTAATCAATCTATCTAATTAATCGATCTATCTAATTAATCTATCTATCTAATTAATCAATCTATCTAATTATAATTAATCTATCTATCTAATTAATCAATCTATCTGATTATTCAATCCATCTATCTATCTATCTATCTACCTCTACCTATCTACCTATCTACCTATCAACCTATCTACCTATCTATCTATCTATCTAACTATCTAACTAACGAACTAACAAACTAACTAACGAATTCGTCTAAAAAATCTATCTATCTAATTAATCTATCTATCTAATTAATCTATCTATCTAATTAATATATCTACCTAATTAATCTATCTATCTAAATAATCTATCTATCTAATTAATATATCTACCTAATTAAAATCTATCTATCTAAATAATCTATCTATCTAATTAACCTATCTACCTAATTAATCTATCTATCTAATTGATCTATCTATCCAATTAATCTTTCTTTCTAATTAATCTATCTATCTGTCTGTCTGTCTGTCTGTCTGTGTGTCAAGCGGTTGCCGCAGCGTGGTTTCATAGCAGCATGAGCTCGTTGCCCGTCGTTGTAGACCTCGGTGTTTGTTTGACATTCCTTCTTGTTGCATTGTTGCATGACCATGTGGTTGCCTTGTTGTTTGCATGCAACTTTGTTCCGCTGTGCTGTGATGCCTTGATCTAAAATTAATGTCGACATGCGGCGTTTCGGCGCTGTCTGCTGTAGATGGCATGTCGCTGTCTTTGCCGTGTCGTTTGCGTGCAGCTTAATGTCGCTGTTTTGCCTTGATCCCAAGTTAGTTTCCACATGTGTCATTTTGGCTCCGTCTACCGTAGATTCCTTTATGTGTGCTCGCCGTTATTCCGCGGCAATGTTGTTATTCTTCCGTCATGTTACCTGAGTTTCTTTGATTCCTGCGCCTGTGTGTCCGTGGATTGCTCGTGTGCCCGGGTGCCTGTGGGCCTCTGGACTGCCAGGCCCGTGTGCCCGTGTGCCCGTGTGCCCGTGGATTCCTCGTGTGCCCGTGTGCCCGTGGATTCCTCGTGTGCCCGGAGGCCCGTGAGGAGACCTATCTCGAAATCTACACCTTCAATGGCCAACTATCAAAATGTGTATCCTTTTCTGGGGAAATGTCACCTTGCAAGGTTGGATTAGCAACGTGGAAAGGTTGCTTTTGCATGTTTCTTGCCAATTGTAAAGGATCCACCTGAGCACATTGCAGAATCATCAGCTAGACCTTGCCTTATCTACCATTTTTCTTAGCTGCTTATGTCTTATGTCCATGGTATCTTTTTGTATATTTTGGTCATACACATGTATTTGTATGTGTGTATATTGGGATGTGTGCATGTGTATATACAAATATATATATATATATATATTCTACATACATACATAGATATATACATGCACATATGTATGTGTTGAGTGTGAATACATTTATATACTGGCATACACAGGCATGGGCATACACAGGCATGGGCATACATTCATTCACAGGTCATACCGCGAGCGCGGGGAGCCTCAGTGATGGGATCCATTTTGTTACAACAAAGAAAAGGACTGGTCAAAAATTGGGTATCCCTAAAATCCTTCAAGTCCAACAGATTATGAATTTGGGATGATCATTTTTGGAGAATTTGTTGGATTTTTGTGATGTCATATCTAAATGCTGTCTTCTTTAAACGGTCAGAAATTGGGGTCTAGCGATTTCGGGACCATGACAAGGCGACTAGAAACCTCTTCATAGCTCTTGTGGCCAGTGCGTGTGCACTTACCAGTTCGATATAGCTTCACTGTTGGGTTTATGGTGATGACCGCAGTTCATTGGGGTCATAGTCAAACAAACGTAAGGGGGGGAGGCAGCAGCGAACTCAGGTTCCCAGTTTGGTCTCACGGAATGCTTTGAGAGGCTTGGAGGCTGTCGTGCAGGACAGATGGAGCACGGGGTACATGGGAACGGCGCTGAGAGGCGCCTGGTTTTAAGGGTCTCTGTGTCCAATTCCCCTTGTAACTGCAAACATCGAGCTCTGCAGGCCTTTTTCTCCCTTTCCAAAAACTACTTCTAGCCATGAAACAATTTGCTCATGGCAGCCAACTTCTGTGAACTGTTTCCCAGCGTGTTTGTTCTGCGCCACATCCAATGCCATACCTTTTGCTCCAGTCGAATCATTCGAAGGTAAACCGACTTCAAAGCCTCCGCATGACTATATCCTATCTCACACAGCACAAATCCAAAAGATAGATCACCACCATCATCAACGTAACACAACCAATGTAACATCATCAGCAGAACATGTATATACAATGTACATGATGTACATGAACGTTAACATCCCACCCTACCCCACCGCTGAACATCATCAACGAAACATGATCAACGTAACATGTACATGAATGTTAACGTCCCACCCCGCCCCCAAAAAACGACAAAGCACCCAGGCGCCCTGCAGCGACGTTGGCAACTAAATAGAACTAAATATAGAAAACATGCGATATTTTCCAAATAAACCAGGAGACTATATAACAATTTATATTGAATTAATATATGTATATATGATTATAAATTATATGATATATATATATATATCACGAAAGGTAGCGCCTAGCTACCTGGTTCTCCGCTTGCTGTGCAAGCTACTTTTCCTTTTGTGTGGGGTCGCTGGGGACGTGCAGCGTTTATGTATTTGTTTTTAGTATTCGGGCGGCCCTGGTCCAAGGCGTTTGAGTGTTTTTTCCTCGACAGCAAGAATTTGCGCAATTGTCTTTGTCAGCGCCGTTC